TCCCTGGATGTCAATATTAGGGGACATCCAAAAATGTTGAAGAAATTGTGGAGAAAAAAAGAATATTGGCATACTATTGAAAAATGCACCGACTAAACACCAAACATTGAAGAATGATTATCGTTGTTAGCACTACAACGCTGCACTAATAGCAATAGCAATGAAAAATTGTGAACGTAAACGAAGGAATTCACTCGCTCAAATAACATAATACTTTTGAACTTTCATGCCATCTCACTGCCTATACTAATTTTGTTTGATTCCAACTGATTACTAGCTGACTTTCTGTTACGATTAGATGGCAGATATGATCCTCTTTCGTTTAAGGGAACTCCTTCAAATCACCTCTTGGACGATGCTAAGATATCCTCCAGAAAATCTTAAAGTGCATATTACTGAATCATCTCACTTACTCTAAGGGCATTCCATTTATCCATCATCACATCAACTAATTTATCTATTCGTTTATTTGATCAGCAACTACAATGATCCGCCTCTCTTCAATCACCAGTATCACAAATATCACATTCTTCCTTCCTTGGCTTTTTTTGTTAGAACATAGCTAATGATGATAGTGCATGGAATCATCCGTATCCATGAAATTTTATTATAATCTCCATTATTGATTGAGCGATCACAGAGACGGAGAGCATAAAACGAGTTTAACTAACAAAAGTATCAGCTGAAAATAGGTTTTCAAATTTTAAACGACTTCAAAGCAGTACGAGCAACTAATGAGATGAAGAATGGAAAATCAATATCGGAACGAGTGCTAAAGCACTAAGAATATGTTCTTTGACTAACGGGATGAGTGCACTTGCAATCGAAACACAATTCGCTTCTCGTATGAATCAACCCTTGTTTAATGTACCAAAAAATTCGCTGCCTTCTACGAACAACTAGATATTCGTTTAGCTACCTGCCTGCCTCCCACAAACGTATTCCCGATTAATCAATTTATTCACATTTATCCAACCGAACAAATTTCAATAATCCAAATACAAAGGCTGAAACTAATCCTATCGCATCACTCAATAAGCATAAGATCCGCCTTCAATAAGAATCTCAGTAAGCATAAGCATAAGAATAGAACAGACTACGCCATGAAATGTCATTGAGCGAGCCTCACGATTAGTTCGGCACTCAGTCTTACGTTCAGATTTGATTTTTAGACTTACAATTACATTCTGGCAAATACGAAACGTCCGAAAAAATTTCTTTTGGCAGCTGTCTCTTATTGATAGTAATGTTTGCATTCCAACTCCATCACGAGAAATGCATTTGCTGCACACCTCGTTCCCTGCCAAATTACATTCATGCTTGTGGCTGCTGCAATATTGTGACTCGTCAACGTGAAAATCGCATGCTGTAATGATGATTTAGCCGTCCGTATTCACGTGAAAGTCAGCAAATCATGCCAAAGAGCAGTTTATCCAGCAGAGTTGTGAATGGACATTTTACACAAATATTCACTAAAATAGCGAATGGATACCCAAATGAACATGAGATTGCCATGAGATTATCATGCCCTATCGCTCCACCTTTTCACACTATTCATACGATTATTTGGTCCCCTAACGAGAGTGTTTCTCGTTTCATTATTCAAGTTATTGTTCGAAACAGATGATTAGCCGACATGAACGGATGATTAGGTGCAGTGGAAATCGGGCGTATAAACGACTCAATTAGGGTGACGTTTAAAATTCCACTCGTAGAGATTTGCTAAAATCTCCACAATCTCTACTCGCTTTGTGACCATTTTGGACCAAACTCGTGGAATTTTATGTCATCGTATCAAGCGAAATCAAATGTAGGAATGGATTCAGAATGTGATTCTGATCGTTTCATAATGGTCTTGGGCAAAGTAAACAGCACTGATATGATATTTTAGTCATTTGAAGCACTGCTTCAATGAGTTTCTTGCATTACTTCAATGGAAAAAACTGCATTCATTAGAGTGTGTTTGAGGCCTCTGCAAAGGAACCGTAGAGATTGTTTCAGGCATGATGAATTCGGAGCTGGAATCTTTTAGTGATCAAGTTTCATCAGAAGAGTTCCGATGGGAGTAAAAAAACCAAATCATAACCAGCTTCTAGTGGACACTTATCAAAGGTTTCGAAACGAATAGGAATAGAATAGATTAGTTCGTAAATGAGGAAGGAACAGCTTGAAACAAAATAGAGCTGATTTTGAGCCCAAAAAAACAGAATAGAACAGTTTTCAACAGACTTTGGCTGTTCTCTAAACTGTTCTTTTGGAACACTGCAGTGAGATAAATTACCATTGTTATATTATTGGTATATTCATTATTATTTATTATTATTACTAGTTACTATTACTATTTATTACTATATTTGTAAATTTTATTATTGCCCTTATTATTACTATCATTATTATCATTGCAATCATTACATTTATTATTTTTATTTTTATTACGTGTTTGTTATTATCACTGTGAGTTTTACTTTCAATTCTAATTTTTTAGAACACGCCTGAAATTGTCTGAAAACTTGAATAAATGATAAATGGAAAACATGTTTTATTCGATAGATGTTTAACATTAACGCATGGACACATAAAACAAACTGTTGACATCCACAACTATCAACCTTAAAACAAAATTCGCGTAAGCTGAATAGCATCTTTTGAATCATTCGAATCGATCACCACAAATTTAATAGGTTTCATTACCACTATTAAATAATGAGATGACATGATTTGAATGAATCGAAACAGAACACAGGAAACCGTTGGAAAATGTGCCCAAAGATGCCCAAAATAATTACAAAGGCATCAGAGGAACGGAAACGCGCAAAAGACATTGAAAAATGAAGGCCATATAATAAATAATAGATAAAAATTATTAGCGAAAAATGTGAAAAGTCAAGGAAATTCCATTTCTCCTCAATTTTGATAAGCACTGGAAATAATGTGGGCAAAACGAACTGCCACAAGAACACAGAAAATTCTGAAGAGAACTGTGCGAGTTTTCTTCAATGCTAAAGAGAACTATATGTAAGCTCTGTTTTGCTTTGAAGAGAGCTGTGCGAGTTCTCCTCAATGCTAAACAGAACTATGCTAGTTAGCCCTCTTCTGCATTAAAGAAAACTGTGCGAGTTCTCTTTAATGTAAAACTGTGCGAGTTCTCTTTAATGTAAAACTGTGCGAGTTCTCTTCAATGCTAAAGAGAACTATATGCAAGCTCTCTTTTGCATTGAAGAGAACTGCGCGAGTTCTCTTCATTGCTAAACAGAACTATGCAATATGCAAGTTCTCTTCTGCATTGAAGAGAACTGCGAGTTCATTCCACTGAAAGAATAATTAAAGAAGAGTTCAAAATGACGGACGGTCTACAACAGACGGTCTACAAAGCAATGAAAGAACATTGCCCACTTGCATTAAGTTTGCTCTTCTTTAGAAATTGAGCGATAGCTAAGAGGCATTCGCAAGCTGGTGTTTATTGCGGAATAGATGAACAATTAAAACCATTTGAAAAAAGTGAACAGATAGATGATTACATAAATCTAAGGGTAAAAAATCGCTCATCTCTTCAATTCCCTCATTAATTATATTTACTTTTCAGGGTGGGTCGTTGTTCACACCTATGGGATAGCATGATCAAAAACGAGATGTAAACATGTGAAAAATTACAGTGAAATGAATACTTTCATGCATATTCTAGTCAGGGATGAGCAATGGCGTACTATCGCTAACTAGGGAAAATTAGCGAAATAGCGGAATAGCTATTTAGCCAGTTAACGAATGTAGCGAAATAGCTAGGATGAGATTTCCCATAGAGGGATCTTACACGTTTTTTGGTGATTTTTGGGTGCCAAAGGTCAATGGATGGGATCGAGAAATTAGTTCTGACGTTATGAGTGGAAACAGTAAATTAATGTGGCGGAAGGAGAGGGGTAATGACGGCCTGCCAGACCATCGAAGGAGATAATGGAGCATTCGAGCGTGAGGACCACGGCTCTAGAGGAACTACTCCAGTTAAATTGTTGATATTTTAAGTTGGCAATAAAAATTTAAACTACTTAGACCCTTATATATAATGATCTCTCAATTTATGTTTTAGCCTACAAATGCTAACTGAGACTTGTACTTGAATATACAGCCAACATACGGAGTCTTTTTCTTAAACGCGATTGCTCTCACACAGAGAAGTTCCAATGATCGCTCACCAGAACATCTTAACGCAGATGCGAATCTCAACAAACAGTCCTAAGAACCGTTCGAAGAACATGATTTCAAACCAACTTCAACTCCGTATTACTCTTAATTCAATACAAACATCTGCCACTGGAAGAATAACATCGAGTTTCGAGATCAGCGAGAGTTTCTGTTAATTACGGTGTCATATTTGTGCCCTTGTTGACATCATATCGTTTTCATTCAATCGTTATTTCCACTGCTTCGCTTTATTTTGCTTTGCTTTACTTCATTTGCCTTCTTAACTTTCCTTGTCTGGTTACGTCAGAATCACTTTGTCGTTGACAGTGTGATTCACAATCACCGTGTTGTTTGAAATGCTGTGTGCCAAAGCATAAAAATTTATCATCGTTCTGCAGACGGTCCAAAAAAACGATCTTATAAACTGCTCCCTTCTACCAGTGCACATTATCTTGCTGCACATCTAGGGAATGCTGCATTTTGTTCAATTTCAGTTCATTTCAAACCGATTTCGTCATTATTAAATAACCTCTGTTAGGGTACTTGAAAAACATGTGGTACTAGGATACGGAATAGTTCTCTTTTACTCGCCTATAAAGTTACCAAAAAAACCAAATACAGATCGATCCATTACTCAGTGATTCGAAATCGAGGGAAATTTATGATCACTCTCCTTTTTTGATCAAAAATACAGATGGATTGTTTCGATAATGAATCAGCTGCGATTTTCAAAGAATTGTTCCTTCAGAAATTTCTTGAAGTTCAGTGCAACGGTAGAAAAAACTGATAAGTGCCATTTCCGAGTTTAGCTTTCGTTGTGAGGAATGTGTTACACGCCAGAGGGTGCTCGTACGCCATTGGAGAGTCTCGACTGCCAACCATCATCCTCATCGTTTTCATACCGATTCAGCAATCAATTTGCACAGCAAAGCTCTTCAGCATCTAACTTAAATCTAGAGGACAATGATTTCGGTTGGTTATGTTCTATACTTAGACTCATCCATTTCTGCAAATTGCTATGATATTTTCAGGATGTAGTAATGACACGAATATGGATAATATCATTAGAAATATACGAAGATGCACTCTTTTCTTTCATTCTTGATGGTTTCTCGAAATTCGAACGCATTTCAGAGCACTCTTTCGGAACTTTCATCAATCAATCGCCAACGGTGACAGCACTAAAGAATCAAACGTCTCCATCATCAATACTTGAGGGTCAGTAGAAAAAAATACTTTATGAAGTAATTCATTCAGATAATTTTACTTCAACGATTGCCGAATTCACTCAGCAATTGAGAATATCCGTGATCAGATAATTCAGATTCCTTTCAACAGTCCAACGACAACGATCCGTTCATTTCATTCAGTTACAAGAATGAGGTTCGCCTGATTATTTCAATTTTTACGTTGCTTCTTCTTGACCCATTCATCTCAGGATCAAGTACATTGAAGGATCAATTTTGCTGCTGAATTGCTTATGCTCTTACAGATATATATCCAGTAAAAATGACAAATGAAGCAGTATTCGTACCGTATATCATTGCTTTAATATATCCTAACTGAAATCTCGATTTGTCGGTAGATTGATCCTGCTTGAGAATAGAATGTGTTTCGCAACTCATGAAGGCTTTAACAATTCCACTATTGTTATGAGACGTCAACAAAATGAATTGCGATTGCAGATTATCACCGGAGACGAATTCCAATCAGCTCCACCATGTACAGCATCGCTTGTGCCTCAAAGTCCACAGATCTCTGTATATCATCAACAAGAAGATGCTCTTCAACGCCACCGCAGTTAATTCTGCTCTCTTATGTTAACAATCACTTCCATAAAGTCCTGTTGCAGGAAAAGTCTCATTTTGAGGCGATAATTGATCTTTTGTCCCATAGGATTGAAAAATATGAACATTTTGCAAAATTTCACCCGGATTTTAACACAACATTAGCGAAACATAAATTACCGATTGAATGATCGCATCATTTTCATGTTATCCTACCCATTGCATGTTCCATTACTTTTTCGCTCGAAACAGTCGACAAAACCCATTCAGACGTTTGTGTTCAGCGTCATATTGTCTCTGACCAAATGAAGACGAATGAAAGCAAAAGTTAGGACGAAGAATGAAAATAAACTTCTTGCTAGAGAAATCATCAGACTGGTTGGAAAAATGACTGAAAACATTTTTCAAATTGTCTGATAACAGTTCGCTGCGAATTGCCTTTATCAGTGAATGCATGATTGCATCGAAAAAATTAACCAATGAACGGAAATACCTAAGAATGATGACTGTTGCGTTTCAAATCAAATGTTATTGATCCATCCGAATACTCAATGAAGCAGTTTTACTGTCTTCTATGACTGCTTGCTTATATGGTGCCGTTCGATAATAGTTAACACGATTAAGGAATGATTCAAGACCAAATACGTCGAAACGAACAAATCGCAAGCATCCTTTCACCTTGGCGCAAACGACAAGTTGGTGACTGTTCCTTATGCACTTTCGTCTATTGTGTGTTTCAACGAGAGTGAACTCAGTTCGGATCGAAAAATGTATCGAAACTCTAGCAGCTATCGTTTTTCCGATTGATTTGGACTGAGTCAATAGATCAGTGGTTTGGGATTAAGATAAGTTTGAATTGTTTCGCCATCTGTCATCGGAAGTTTGTGTCTTCTTAGGACAGTGGTGGTTCATACACTTTTACATTTTGCACCACCCAGCTCGATTGAACCACTATATTGCTATTCCCCTTACGGCAGAAACGTCGGAACATTATCAGTCATCGACACAATTCATTAATCTATCCTAGTCTTTCTCCTGACATCCTCAGGTCTCTTCACAGATGGGATTTTTCCTCACATCAAGAAATTTGTTCTACTCTGGGTCAAATATTCATCACGCTCAGAATGACTGAAGTATTCAGGAGCAGTTGCGTAAACGTCCAGTGAAACGTTGCATGATTCCACGCAGAAAGTTCTCTCTGGCATCAGGTCTCGAGTCATCCACTAGCAAAAAGCACACAGGTTCACTGTCTCTTTCTAATGCTCTTCTTCTGAGCAAAAAATTTGTCTTTCCCTGAAGATAATGTAAATCACTTAATAACACAATAAGTGCTATCTCATATGTAGGTTTTCAGGTAAAGGAAACTGTGGTGCAATGGATAGCATAGATGGAGTAATTTACAGGAAGCGTGAACGACACCACATTCAACGTTGATTCTATGATTTATGACGCAATTCAATTCCTAGTAAATTTTCACCAGATCTCTCGGTCCATCTTCATTCAAATGATCGCGACTGTCACCTTCAAATTTAGTGTTCACTCATCGAAATTTTTCTGCGTTCTGCTCGAAAAAAAGGCAACAAGCAAACAAACACATTCCTTTTCATACCGACATTTAGAATCAAAAATGAATATTTGTATATGTGCACGATCAAATAACATTTCATGAAGGCAAGTAATATAGTATGGTACATGACAGAATACAATTATAATATTATCATTATTACAATTATAGAAGGATTAAATATATTTTACAATAACGTTCAGCTTTTGCCGGTAGTGCCGTAAATGTGAAGCGCCGAAAATTTTGATTAATATTAAAAGCTGATTTGCATTCGTATGTTTCCAGTCAAAAACAGTTATAGCTGTACACTAATATATTATGCGCCTCGTAGAAGAGGGATCTTTTCATCATAGTAGAACATGATATAAAATATCATAATATAATATAACATTCAAATATTTATCAAATACTACACACACTTTGTAATAACATTTAATTATACTGTTTATGAGCAAAAGCTCTTCTTTTTTTTGATTGCTCATTTCACTTAATTTCTCAGCAAAATTTTTGGAAAATTCACATTGTACGCTGAAGAATTGGATGATCGGAAGACTTTGATTACTCTGTACATTTATTTATTCGTTCATGCGTGTTCAATATCACACAACAAATGAGACAAAAATTCGAACATAAGAACGAAAACAAAATACAAAATCGATCAAGCAATTAACCAATTCGTGGAGGAAAAAGGCACCATGAGCTCAACTCAGACTGTACACTTTTCTTACATGTTTATCACTCGAAAGTAATTGACATCCTCTTGAAGTCCTCTCCAAATAAGCATCACATTTTACAGAAAACATTTGGTGAGTGGAATGCTTTGAGCAAACTGAATGGAACAAAAACTGCCCATCAAAATTAATATTGTCTTCCTTTTCAATTGATACTTTCAAGTATGTTATGAGGCGTACCATACGACTTTCCATGATCACCCGCAACTTTCTACCGCAACGAATGATCGATCACAATGATCAGATCGGATAGCACGTAGCCATTATAACTACAGCAACAACGCTTAATGACTTAATGACAACGATAAATTGACATGATGACACATTGATCGCATAATAAGGTTAGGACAAGAGTTCAACTCGTCAGAACTTTTGGCATGTCTTAACCCTCATAAGGGATTTTCGACCCTTCGCATACGCTGAGACTTCGGTGGTGTGTCACAGCCATTGAACGCAATCAGATGCCATTGCATGCAACACGATATCAGCGCTATACAAAGGTCCGCCAAACACACCACTCCAAAGAAGAGCGTTTTCGAATCTGCTGTCGCCAAATCTGAAACATTCAACCTGTTCAATCACTTATCAGTCTGATTTTCTCCTCCAGATTCCCGTCTGCTGGATAACCGCGAAAGAATTCCGCGATCCATATAGCTTGTGGTCTCTCAAGCTATTCGTCAGGTCAAGCAGCCAGATGAAGCATAGTAGAGAACATTTTTATGACTATCGCAATGAAAGTGATCCAAAGTTGTTTGATTGACATATTACGAATGCTTTTTCCCGCATAAATTCCTCTCTTCTGATCAAAAAAGTGCTCATGTTAGCTGATCAAAGACCCATTTTTGCTTGGAAAAATCATTTACAATTTCAGCCTTCTTGAACGAAAAATATCCAATACTTGCTGAGGATATCAATGAATGACCTCTCAAATCGCTAATTTTTTTAAATTTCAAAAACTGATCTACGATGCTTTCATGACATCATTTTTTCAGCTAAAAACATTCAGGCAAACCTATCCGAATTGGTAAAATTACATTTCCTTTTTTCCTAAACTGATATCACGATGGTTTCTACTTATATTCTCTCAATCAAACCAAATCAATCAAATACACCGCAAACTGTCCAAATAATTTATTCATTTTTACTCAGCATGCTTCTACGCCCCTTCTTTCTTCCCCAACGCTTCAATTCTTTCAGCATTCATTCAATGCTAAAATCATCAAACTTTCTCCCAATGAACTCGATGAAATTTCTGCGGTCAAATCAACTCAGCGTGCTTCATTGTTCAAATGGAGTACAATAAGTGTGGCTGACACGTTGCTCTTGGATTTCCTCGGTTTGTATTCGCAGAAGATGACCAGCAATCAGCTTCTACGTATCTGCCCTTAGTAAGGGTAAAATCGTGACGAGCGAATAGTTAATCCCTTGGGCACGAAATATGTTTCTTACTAGCAAAACTTTTTCTGCAGTCCAACTAGCAAAAACTCTTCTGTCTTGTTTGCACGAGCACATGACATCTACACATCAACTTAGTGAAATATCAGTGATAGCATTGATCTATCTGATATGATCTCAAATCCTAGCGTAGAACTTTATCGTTACTGCTAAGCAACCAGTAATACCAAATTCTTTAATCACTGAATTTACACCAGCAACGCGGCAGATTCACTACATATCCAACCTGCCCACACTGACTACTTGGGATTTGTTACCCTGCCTGTTACCCCTCGGCGTTTTCTTGTCTCTAGACCTTCAGAGCACATCAGATTCAATAGTGAAAGCCCTTGAACACTTATGGTTTCTAGAGTATGTATTCATG